GTGGCCCGCAATCACTTAGCGGCATGAACTCATCTGCGCTCTGTTTTTCACCCTCCCCGCGTAACCATCCTTCTCTTATCGATCCCTTCCCCGATTCCCACGACTTGCTTGTACGAAAAGACGAACATTGTTGACCACTTGTTCAACTTGAACACCTCCCATATAAATTTATTGGCCTGAAGAGAATGTATCGAAAGTATACGTACACTGGCCGAACTAATCTTCTGACTTCCCTTGATAATTACGGAATTATTAACTGGTTGCGGACAATGCTGTCACCTCATGTCCGATGGCGTGATGGGCGGCATGTGAAGACCGTGTCTTGTGTGCCAACACACCTCTCAGAGGCGACAGTAATTTTGGTCTTTTACGGACTTTGCACAGCCTAATAAAGGCGCTGTGAGCAATGTGGCCTTTTTCTACCCCAGCGCCTTTAGAGTGCCATTCATTTTGTGGAGCAAATTTTACCTACTTTCGAATAGTTATACGTTGAGGGTGTACCAATAGAGGGTTCAGTGTAAGAACTTTTGTCCAGGACGCTCAATAAAGAAAGATCCCCATGGTGTGTACGGCTGGGTAAAGATGACCTATAGGCCAGAATTGACCCTTGTAACCTCTCTGGTCTAGATCGCTACTCCGCTCTGTAGATTTAGACAAAATTCTTTGGAAAAAAACCTTTACTGCCTAAATTTGAGGCTGATCCTTCAACTTTTCGGATTATAGATGGCTTTAAAAGGCAAGTAACCATTTCTAACAAATTCTTTTATTCAAGTGACCCAATTGAATTATCAAATATTGCTAACATCTAGCAACCTAGTCCTTACTAATGGGATGAAAAGCTTTTGAGCTCTCGCGCTTCCCTCTCGATGTGAAAGTTATATTTCAGAAAGAAACTTGAGCATACTTTGCTGTTCTTGCCCCATGGTTCATCTCCTCCGGTTAGCACTCTTGCAAAAAAATAAAGTTGAACTTGTTCTACAAACATTTAACCTTACACTAATCGGAAATTAAGCGTAGATAAAATATCCAATGAAACCAGGAATTCACTCACTTGGCTGAAATGTCAGTAGGTTTGACGTCGGTGCCCACAGGTGCCTTGTTGGGTACAGTGAGACCGCTGAGGGATGCCGGCGGAATGAGGGGACCCTGGGTACGCACAGTCAGTGTGAGAGTAGTGGTTACGGTGCGAGCAGGCTCGCGCTGATCACTGACAGTCAAGATCAGTGGCCACTGTAGCCGACCGTCGGTGGGTGAGGGAGGCGTTGGGTTGTCCGTGGGGGAGTCTGGTCCAGCCAGGAGCGTCTGCAGTGTTTCCCGGTCCAGTCGGCCTATTAGACTCAATTGAACCTACAACAGGAGGTGTTACAAGTCCGTCAGATTATGTAAAAGTTATGTCTGACAAAATTTTTACAACTCAAGTTATTCGAGTCTCTCCGGCTTAACTGCTACAACCAGTAAGCGGGATCAGAAGGCATCTAGCAATTGGTTACATTTTAGCGATTAATAAGAACTGTGCAGTTAGTAAAATGTCCGGTCGTAGATCGAAGTGTTTTCTAAAAAGTGTGCCTCTCGACACTGAAGATAACTTCCACCTAATTGGGCAATTAGTCAACTTCTCCAAATGGTTTTCTTCGTCTGTATGGTTTCCCTTCAGTCTTCAGAGCCCACTCCACGACCTCTTCATCTATGCGTTTGGTTCAGTAAAATACTTATAGGCGGCGTTCCTTTATTTCCTACTGTGCACTTATCACGTACTAAACACGTATTAATTACGCATTAATCAACATTAAACTTTTAGCCCCGAGTTCCGTAAGACAGGTCGGCAGGGAGACATTTGCCATTGGGCGTCCCTACGTTAAATCCCTACCCATTGTGGAAT